TGTGTCTATCCAACTTAGATCATGGAAAGCCTTTTTTCTATGTTTCCAATTCATCATTTATTGTTTTAGAAGTAGGAAGGAGATAAGGAAGAGTGATAAAGGGCATTTTGTTTGTAATTGTGTCTTTTAAGTTCAACACATAAGGAAAATCACAATATTCAATTTAAAATACATTTTTCAAGTTCTGTAGTATAAAACATTCTATTGAAAATATTGTACTTAATATTTGTGTTAGGTATCCCTAACAGAATTATTTTTTGGTCTAAGTCTGGTACTGAAATCAGTATCTGAGTCACACCTCCAACCCCCAGAATTATTTTTATCATTTTTCATTTTAAATTTGATGTCATTCTAAGAGGCTTCTGAAAATAACTTCTGAGACACCATGAAGTATGGTAGTATTCATTTTGTAAATTTCTACTGAAACATGATAGCGATAGTAAACTTGTTTTTAAATTTTTATTTTCCCATAGAATTGATGTTCTCATATAAATATCCAGTACTGGAGATTGTTCTCAGGGCTTTACACTCTTACTCAACTTCTTTGTTTGTTTGCCAATCCTGGGGCTTGAACTCAGGGCCTGGCCCTAGGCTTCTTTTTGTCAAGGCTAGCACTCTACCACTTGAGCCACAGCACCACTTCTGGCTTTTTCTGAGTAGTTTATTGGTGATAAAAGTCTCATGGACTTTCCTGCCCAGGCTGGCTTTAAATGACGATCCTCTGGTCTCAGCCTCCTGAGTAGCTTGGATTACAGGTATGAGCCATCAAGCACTACTTGCTCAACTTCTTTGCTCACAGTTAGTGCACTGACACTTGAGCCATGCCTCCAATTCCAGGTTTTTGCTGCTTAATTGAGGATGGAGTCTCATAGACTTTTCTACTTGGGTTCTCAGAGGATTCTACCTTTGAATAGCATGAGATCCTCAGATGTCATTCTTCTAAGTAGTTAGGATCACTGTTGTGAATGACCAGCACCTATCTAAGATATTTTCAAGGCTTTGTAATCAGAATATTGGTAGTTCTGATGCTCTGTTACTTCTCATTGTGTGTTCTTGGGTCATGTCAGTCCCCTTTTAATACCTGAATTAATTCATTTGTAATAAAAGGGGATTGGGCTATACTTGTGGCTTTTAAGCCTTTGTGGATTGAAGCTATCATAAGAAATTCACTTCACAGCAAATGCCAGTATACTCACCTATATGTCACAAATGTGAAACAAAAATTTTATGAAGCAATTCTCACCCTTATTACAGAAATATTCTGAGTTATTCATTTCCATGTTTTTAATTGCTAGTGGTGACTCAATAACTTGAACTGGTAACCTCACTAATCTTTCACAACCCACAGTTTGAAGAGCATTAAATAAGGGATACCTAGTGGCTCTCTACAGTAGTAATATTCTATTATTTTGTTATGGCTTTGTCTTGCTTTTAGAATAATATCAGCAGTAGTTAGCATTTTTACAACTTTTACTACATTCCAGATTCTCAGTTAAGCATTGTACTCATATGAAGTAACAGTTTTCAACAACCAGAAGTACTAAAAGTAGTAAAATTTTAGTAATGAGGAAAATCATTGTGACTGATATTTGCACCAAATTCATTGGACTACAAAAATATATTTCAATTCAGATTTAGTCTTTTGAGTATCTTAGAACATACCCACTTTATAAAATACTGTTTTGCCTGCCTTTACCAATTTAACCTATGGAGAGCACTATTAGAAGCCTGCCATATGGAAAAGGAGAAAAAATGATTATTGACTCTGAAAGTCAAATGCTTATTCTGTTATTGTGAAGCACATTTGATCCTAAAGCAAGTGCTTAATAATGTCGTTTCTATAAGTGTGAGTACTACTGAAGTAGATGTTATGTACATTATAACAGATTGTCAACAGAATAATACAAAAGACTCCATATGTGCTGCCTTACATTCATCTTTACTGTAAATAGAAGTGTAAAACCAAAAAGTGGTGCTACTTATTGCCGGTTCTAGTAATTATCCTATTGCAAAGCACCACCATAAAAAAAAAACAACCAAATTTTGGGTTTCTCATGGTGCTACATACCTGTGATTCCCTCTATGCAGGAAGCCATAGATAGGAGGATCTCAGTTGAAGGACAGCCTTATAGTGAGGCTCTGAGTTCAAACCCTAGTTCAACAAAAAGGAAGGAAGAAGGGAAGGAAGGAAGTAAAGAAGGCCTTTTAGGAATTATCTGGAAGGATCCAAAAATACAATGGTACAAAACTAGAATTCATAAATTTTATTATTTAGGGGGTCCTGATGGAGGTACTAAACCAGTAAGAAAGAGTACATGAAGCCGGGCGCCGGTGGCTCACACCCGGAAGCCTAGTCAGGAGGCTGAAATCTGAGGATCTCGGTTCAAAGCCAGTCAGGGCAGGAAAGTCTGTGAGACTTTTATCTCCAATAAACCACTAGAAAACCGGAAGTGGTGCTGTGGCTCAAGCGGTAGAGCACTCGAGCCTTCGCCTTGAGCTGAAGAGCACAAGGACAGCGCCCAAGCCCAGAGTTCAAGCCCCATGACAGACCAAAAAAAAGAAAGAAAAAAGAAAGAGTACATGAGAGCTGGGTGGGATTGGTTCACAAATGAATCATGGTTCAAAGCCAGTCCAGGCAGAAAAGTTCATGAGACTCTTATCTCCAGTTAAGTACCAAAAAATGCTAGAAGTGGAGCTGTGGCTCAAGTGGTCAAGTACTAGCCCTGAGCAAAAACACTCAGGGATAGTACCTAGGCTCTTAGTTCAAGCTCTAGGACTGGCACAAATTAAAACATAACGAGCAACTTATGACCACACTCTTGGGGAGAAAAAAGGCCTTGAAAAAGTAAGAGTTTGGTAATAGTGTATCACCATTCAAGCAGATTGTTGATGACTACTTAAGTCTCATGAAAATTAAACTTTGTGAAGCTCCAGGTTGTTGCATTACTTAGTGCAATGTGTCTGCATGCCTTGGGCAAGTGCCAGTGCTTCTTGTCCTAGCATTAATTACAAGTGGACAGTATAGTCATGAGGCAAAAATGGTATGGGATTTTAACTGCAAGCGACTTTTGTATTTGGAAAAGCACTGTTGTAAAGTACAGCTATGCTTCAGATCCTAGTATTGTATTCAATAAAACTGCGTAACTGATGCCTACATGTTGGTTGGTAAATAAATCCAGTGAAATGTCCATAAGTATATGGAAAAGCGATTTTAGAGGCTACAAGGTAGACAGAATTGCTGTGGACACTTAGTAAAAGGAACTCTTGCTCAGTGCCAGTGGCTCAAGTTTGTAATCCTAGTTACTCAAGGAACTGAGATCTGAGGATTAGGACACACTGGACCTTGTGGGATTTATTCCTTCAGTCACAAACATTAATGCAAGCATTATAAGGTATATATGATTATTTGCCTTATCATTTTTTTGTTTCCATCTCCCACATTCATATTGGTTTACAACAAGTTTTCCTAATCATTTGTGTTTTATATTGTTTACCATGTCTTATGGTGATTATTGAATGTCTTTTTTCTATCTGCCTATCTTTCTATCTGCCTCATCTGTTATGGGAAACCTTCATTTTGATTTTTCCTTTCTCCAATTAAGTAACGGAAAAGCTGGAAGTGGAACTGGAACCCCTTTGTACAATTACTTAATAAAAATAAAAATTTTAAGTTGGAAGTGGAGCTGTGGCTGAAGTGGTAGGGGCCATCCCTGAGGAGAGAAAACCACAACACCCATGCCCTGAGTTTGGGACCAAGTATGGTCAAGGCAAGAAAAAGAAATCCCAGTTAAAAAGGAAGATGGAGGAGGAGTTAAGGAGTAATATAAGGGGTGAATTTTACTCATCTACATTATATAAGTAACATACTAAGGTTTTTTTTTAAGAAATGCTCTTATTGAAATGCTGTATCCTACCTCTATTAAGTGAGGAGTTGTATTTTTAGGTACATTTTAAGAAGTTTCATCTAAAAGGGGCACCAGTGATTCAGGACTGTAATCTTACCTACTCAGGAGGCTGATATCTGAGGATTGAGGGTAAAAGTCACTACAGGCAAGAAAGTTCATGAGAATCTTCTCTGCAGTTAATCATCAAAAAGAAAGGTAGGAGTGGAGCTGTGGATCAAGTAGTTAAGCTCTGGCATTGAGCAAAAGCACTCAGCAACAGCGTTCAGGACTTGATGTATATTGTACCAAAAAATTCACACAAATTTGGTTCTTTACCTAGAGAACTGTATTTTTTTTTGGGGGGGGTCCGGTTGTGGGGCCTGAACTCTGGGCCTGGGCACTGTACCTCAGCTCTTCAGCTCAAGGCTAGCGCTCTACCACTTGAGCCACAGTGCCACTTCCGGCTTTTTCCTTTTTGCTTATGTGGTGCTGAGGAATCGAACCCAGGGCCTCAGGCATGCAAGGCAAGCGCTCTACCACTGAGCCACCTTTCCAGCCTGAGAACTGTATTTTTTAAATCTTCATTTGCAGTTAACTAGTAAGTTCTATACCATGTACTGAAGGAGCCACTATAGGCTATTATGGTAATAGTAATTGCCATGGCAGTTGACATTCACTGCGATCTTTCTTTTGTTTGTTCTGGGATTGGAACTCAGGACTTTTCACTACTGAGGACTTTTTGTGCTAGGGGATGTGCACAACTTATGCGTTTTTGTTCATGCAATATATGAGGCTGGTGTTATCATAGTCAGGCATATTAACCAATGACCAATTAACTTAATGTGCCAGCTCCAAATCCAAAGTCTGAATTGCCTGAGCTTAATAAGTACAGACTGTGACTTCTGCCGCTTTTACGTTTCACATCCCTCTGGGCACTCTACTTTGTAGGGAAGTCCGTGGTGCTCCTCACCTTTTTCTCTTGTGCCTTGGGAACCGAGATGATCAAGGTTCTCTCCCCTGCGCAACTCCCTGGCAAGACTCTCCTTTCTTCCCCCAAGTTAGTCTCGTGAGCTTGATAGGACTACGGGTGGTAATGTGGTGCGTGGGACTATTTAGAAATCCCTCCGAATCCCCAGCGGAACGCCGAGGAGAGGGGCGGGCCCAGAGCGCGGCGCGCTTGCGCAACCTCTTTGAAACCTTGCTACTGGGCGGGCCCTGGGCAGTTGGCGGAGGCTTCTTGGAGCTACGCGCACTGTTTCTCGGCTCTTAGTTTGGGACGGGGCAAAGTAGCACGTGGAGTTTTCATTTATCTCAAGATGTCGGCTGAGAGAGGTCGCGTTGGATCCTATCCGCAAAACCCTGAGAAAAAGCAGACTGAAGTCCCAGGAGTGGTGATCCGAAAGGCTGGTGCCCAAAAGCCCAACTCCTGGATCCAAAAGGTTCTTCAACAGATTGTACGGTCACCTGGCATGTGTGTGAGCCCCTCTGAGGTGGTGCCCGTCACCGTACTGGCAGTCCAGAGGTACCTGTTAGAGTACGATCGCCGGGACACGCAGCCGAAGCCTCCCGTTTACTGCTATGATGTGACCATCTCCGACGGCGTGTACCAGGAAAAGTGCTGCCTCGATACCAGTCTCAACTGTCTGGTTCGTCAGAATATTCTTAAAGTTGGCATCAAAATGAGCATTTCTAGAGTCTCGTGTCTTTACAACGAGGAACATTTAGGCCAAGGGATCCTTTGCATCGATAGCGTCCACTGCGAGGAGGCGTTAGATGATATTTCTGTCGAAGAAATTCCCTTCCGAAACAGTGAGCACCAGAAGAAACCCGAGCGGCCTTTGAGGGGCGAGCGCAGTCATTATTTGGCTTTGTGGAATAATGAAGATCCGTATGGAGACATCTGGCTAACCAACAAGCAACCTGAAGACTACAATTTTAAACGTAAGGAATTAGCGGGGATGTTGGGAGAGTTGGGGAAGTGGCGGTTCAGAACTTGGGATAATGGCAAAGGAAATGAGTATGGTTCTGGAGAGTCTCTGGTCCCTTTCAAGCTGCGGCGGAACAAGTTGGAAGCTAGGTTTTGAGATTTTTATTGATTTGTTTATTTTTAAATTTTATTTTATTTTAAAGATGCTGTACAGAGGGGTTACAGTTACATGAGTAAGGTAATGAGTATATTTCCTATCGAGCATTTTTACCCCCTCCTTTGTTTTTCCCCTACCATCCCTTCCCTCCCCACCCTCCCACTCCTCCCCCGCGAAGTTGTAGAGTTCATTTCCAACATAGTGTCTTGTGAGTCTCATTGTTGCAATGGGTCATCCTGTGTTTTATTTATTTTTTATTTATTTAGTTTTATGTTATTTTACTGAGAGGCTTCTTGGTGAAATTTGTCTGATTGGTGTCCTGGTTTGGTTTCTTCATGAAGTGCCTCAGCAGATCCTAAATTCAACCTGGCAAAGACACTGTTGGTGGGGGGAGGGGGAGTCCATATTCCTCCAGCGACCGTGCCTTCCTTCTACGCGACCTAGCCATTTCAGTTATAGAAATGTAACGATGTAACCATCGGTTGCCGAGAGTGTAAGTTTCAATTGTACATAAAAACTTCCACTTGTAGTTTGCATGCTTTGACCTTTGCTCCAAAATGATGCTCCCTTATTTATTCCTTAAATATTTCCATCCAGCAAAACGCCACTTTTTATGTCTTTTAAAGCAAAGAGTTGAGTAACTATCACCTTTGGAAGGTGCGGGATTTTGTGCAAAGGCTTCAAATTCTCGCTTTCTGTTCCTTCTTTGCTACACACAGAATTTATTAAGGAAGTTCAATTTTGGGGGGTTACAACTAACTACTCAAAATATATTGCTTTCTTAACAGGTGAAACTAAGGAGAATGGCATTGCTATACGCATGAACATGCATATGGCATGGGGAAAATAATTAAATACAAAAAACAATAAGAAAAAATACCAGGAAAATCTGTAATGTTCTATATTTGTTGCTCTTCGGCCCTTTTTTCAACACAATGTTAAACCACAGATCCAGCAAAAAAAAAAAAAAAAACTTAAAAGCCAAAATAACAAAAGCAAAAAGCAACGTACATCAAAATATGTAAACATAGTAATAATAGCCACTGAGGGGCAAAGAAAATACGGCTCAAACTTGTACCAAAGATCGTATAAATAAGTTTTTGAAATTGAAATACTTATTTCCAGGGTTAAAGAAAATATTTTATCCTAAGCACTCGAATAAAGCAACAGTAAATAACAACTCCAAATGTGGTTTATTTCTAACTGTTTTCACAATTAAATATGTAAGGGAAAAATTGATGACGTCAAGAATTGAAAATAGAGCTCATAATTTCTAAAATTATCTAAGATTTTTAAAAAGAAAGTAATATCCATTTATCAAAGCTGTGTTTTATTGCAAAGGGTAGTGGACATAAAAAAACCCAAACTGTGTATTTAGAAGTTTATTATGTTAAAAGTATCAGAGCCATATACAGCAAAATAGTGGTCACTGATGTAGAAACTACCTTGCTGTTCACGTAAACTCCTTTCACATTTGCTGTGAGATTGAGATTATTAATAATAAAATAGGGGATTAGAGTGTATAACCTCTCACCTTTCCTATGACTTCAGTTGCCTTCTCCAAATTGCCAACTGTTTGTGGTCCACTGTGCAGCTATGAAAAAGAAATGGTGTTTCTTTGCATGGTTTCCTATTTCCACTTAACAACGTAGACATCTTTTGTGCACATCTGTACCTACAATATCTCATAGTATGACTGTACTACAGTTTCCATAATCATGTCATCATAATTTCTCGTTGTAGGCAGTGCTGTTTTTCCATATCAGCTATATTTATCATCACTACTTTGTATTTATATTGACTGTATTTGAGAATTTCTGTTAAGGGACAAATTCTGAGAACTGAAATTGCTAACGTGATACTTGAATTTTTTAATTTAATGCATATGGCATGTCATGTTTTGACTATTCCCACGAATTTATAGCCATCAGCATATATCGGGGTGTTCAGTTTCTATATTTTGCTTGCTGTTGTAAAATGTTTTTAGATAAACATATATTAATGATATCCAAGTGCTTTCATTGTAATATTTCTATACATGCTTACATTAATCATAATACTCTCTGTTACTCTTTTTTAAATTTTCCATCACTTTTCTTTATAATTTCATTGTGATATTTATTACAACTTTTATTTGTGCCAGTCCTGGGGCTTGAACTCAGGGCCTGGGCAAATCTTCTTGACCTTTTTTTTTTTTTTGTCAGTTGTGGATCTTGAACTCTGGGCCTGGGCACTGTCCCTCAGCTCTTCAGCTCAAGACCAGTGCTCTGCCACTTGAGCCACACCACTTCCTGTTTTCTGGTGGTTAACAGGAGATGAAAGTCCCACAGACTTTCTTGCCCGGGCTGGCTTTGAACCATGATCCTCAGATCTCAGTCTCCTGAGTAGCTAGCATTACAGGCATGAGCCACCAGTGCCTAGGCTCCTGAGCTTTTTTGCTTAAGGCTAGCACTCTACCACTTGAGCCACAGGGCCACTTCTGGTTTTCTAGTGGTTCATTGGAGATAAGAGTCTTACCGACTTTCCTTGCCCAGGCTGGCTTTGAACCGTGATCCTCATATCTCAGCCTCCTGAGCAGCTAGGATTACAGGCATGAGCCACCGGTGCCCAGCACTACTTCCTATTTTGCCACTTTGACTTTTGCAGAATTTCTGTTTATTTTTCTTCTAGTAATTTGGAATTTACATATTATTTTGTAGTGCTTACTTGATGTTTCAAAGAAATAATTAAATTAAATGTCGTTTTGTGAGTCTTCAGAGCAAGAGACAGCAATTAGGACACTAGTAGTGTATGGTGCCTTTTCCTTTTAGCCTGCTGTGATAGGAGGTTTGAAAGTATTTAATTGAGTTTTTCCCATCATAAATTATTTTGGCTCATAGTTTTTTCTCTTTTGTATTGATTCTGTCTATATGTTTCAAATTATCCTGAGTTTATAAGGTGAATTGGTACAATTAGTATATTTTAATGAACTGTAGAACAATTTATAGTTCAGGGAAAAGAGCTATTCCTTGAGAGCTGCTAGAATTTTGTTGTACAATCATGTGAACAGCTGCCATTTAGGGAAGCTACTATTTGTGAAGTTCTTTTTGTTTTCTACTATAGTTTACATATTTGGGTTTTCTGCTTCTTACAGCAGTGCTTGTAATTAATACTTTCCTAGATTATCCATTTCACTATATTTTTCAAATTTATTGTTACAGAGTCATACTTAATAAACTGTAAACTGTTTTCCCCTGTCTTCATAATTCATCACATTTGGAATCAATATTGTTCTTTATCCTTTTTAGAGGGGTGGAATTGAATGCAGGAACTCAAGCATGAAAGGCAAGTTTTCTACCCTATATAATGTTTTCTAATTCATTTTTTCACCTTTTATCTTTATTCCTTTCTGCATTTCTTGGATTTATTCTTCTGAAAAAATTCTTCAAATATGCCTACTGGCTTTTCCCATGACTTTAATTAACAATTCAGGACATGAAAACAAATTCATAATAATCCTAAGGCATTATTTACTTTGCTTTTCTATCACAGGTTACAGCAGAGTTTTCTACAGGTTTGCAGGATATGTAATATTGAAATAGACTAAGTTCTGAAGAAGATATGAATATCTAGCTAACTCAGTAAGCTAAAGAAATTCACAGAAATATAAAACAGTATGATTCTCTTCACTGAATATTTGTTTTGGAAAACAATCATTTTTTATTGTCAAGGTTATATACAGAGGGATTACAGTTACATAAGTAAGCTAATAAGTACATTTCTTGTCAAACTTATTAACCCTTCCTCGTTTTTCTCCTACTTTCCCACCCCCCCCATCTCTCCAAGTTGTACAGATCATTTCCACCATATTGTCTTGTGTATATTGTTGTTGCATTGGTTCCCTCTCATCCTTTTTCTCACTGTTCTGTTGTTCCCTAATTCAGGTAAATGTATATACAATACCAGGGTAACAAAATCAAACACAGTGACAACATGGGATATACCATAGTGGGAAGAACATACAAAAGAAACAAAAAATCACATAGTACATTAAAAAACAGCAACAACAAAGAAAAACCTCTTGTGTCCATGTCTTGGAGTTCATTCCCTTAGAATCATTTTATATGGTCATATTTACATAGCTATTGAGCTGTTCTGCTCATCTGCTGAGATTATACTAGACGTATACTAATTATTGCAAATAAGGGAAACCATGGGACCTATGTTTCTTTGGGTCTGGCTTACTTCACTTAATATAATTTTTTCCAAGTCTTTCCATTTCCTTAGAAATGGGGCAGTGTCATTCTTTCTGACAGAAGCATAGAATTCCATATCCTAGCTATGGTGAATATACATAATAATAATGCTGCAGTAAACATAGTTGTGCTGGTAGCTTTAGTATTGCCTTGTTTGTTTTCATTTGGGTAAATGCCCAAAAGTGGGGTTGCTGGGTCATAGGGGAGCTCTATATAGAGTCTTTTGAGGAGCCTCCATACTGCTTTCCAGAGTGGTTGAACACGTTTATACTCCCACCAATAGTGCAGTAGTATTCAATTTTGGCCACATCCTCTCCAGCATCTGTTGTTATTAGATTTCTTGATTACAGCCATTCTAACTGAGGTGAGGTGGAATCTCAATGCTGTCTTGATTTGCATTTCTTTTATGGCCAGGGAAGTTAAGCATTTCTTCATGTGTCTATTAACAATTCTTATTTCCTCTTCAGAGAAGTATCTTTTTAAATCTTTAGCCCACTTACTAATGAGGTGGTTGTTTCTTTGAGGATTTGTTTTTGGAGGATTGAATTTTTTTTGCTGTTAATTTTTTAAATTTATATTTATTTTTTATTGTGAAAATACTGTACAGAGGGGTTACAGAGGGCAAGATAATGAATACATTTCTTATCAAGCATTGTAGCCTCCTCCTTTGTTTCCCCTTCCCATCCCTTCCCATCCTCCCCCCCCACCGCCCCACCCAATCCTCCCTACCCCACCCCCCACCAAAGTTGTAAAGTTCGTTTTCAACATAACGACTTGTACTTCTCATTGTTGCAACAGGTCCACCTGTATCCTTATTTAAAGGACTTGTTTTTCCCCTTCCCCTCCACAAATTATACCGACATCAAATACAGTGAAAGCAGGGGTTATACTGTGGGGGAGGGACATACAAAGCAACAAAGAAATAATCTTATAAATGCATTAGAAACAATCGCATGAAAGAAATTTTTTTTTGAGTTCTAAGTACAGTTTAGATATGAGGCCCTTGTCTGTTGTATGGCTAGTGAAGATCTTCTCCCAATCTGTGGACTTTCTATTGATCTTGCTAGCTATGTCCTTTGCCATGCAGAAGCTCTGCAGTTTCATTCAATCCCATTTGTTCAACCTTTCTTTGATTTGCTGTGTTTCTGGGTCTTTATTAAGAAAATTTCTGCTTGTGCCAGCGAGCCCTAGAGTTTCTCCTATTCCTTCCTGTAATGTTTTCAGGGTGTCTGCTTAACTGTCATTTTTTAGAATGTTGTTTTTAGTATGCATTTTAGGTTAATTATTATTTTGAAATTAATTGGTGCTTAATTTCTTAATTCATAATGTAGTAAATATGATATAATTCATAGAGAAGCTCCTCAAGATAATTAGCAGTTTTTAAGAATGTAAAGAGGCCCTGAGATCAAAATATTTAAGAATAACTGCTCCATTGCATATGGTCTACATCTCCTGTTGAAATCAAATTTCTTTTTTTGTTTTTTGTTTTTTTGTTTTCTTTTTTTGGTCGATTGTGGGGCTTGAACTCTGGGCTTGGGCGCTGTCCCTGTGCTCTTCAGCTCAAGGTGAGCGCTCTACAGCTTGAGCCACAGCACCACTTCCTTGAAATCAAATTTCTTTGTGGATAATCAACATGTACAAATAGCATATGACTTCTTTCTGGATTTAAGAAATAAACACACACACACACATATTTGTGAGTTAAAAACACAAACTTGACTAAGTGCTGATGGCTCACACCAATAACCCTAGCTACTCAGGAAGTATAGATCAGGAAAATTGTGGTTCATTGCCAGTCCAGGCAAAAAGTTGATAAGACCCCATCTCAACCAATATCTGCATATGATGGTATATCCCTCTAATGGCAGCTGAAATTAGGAAGATTAGCAGTTCCAGGCTAAGCCATACTTGGGCATGGTAGCTTACAACTGACATCCTAATATGGTAGGAAGTGTAAGTAGGATTGTTTTCCAGACAAAAAAGTGAGATGATATCTACAATATAACCAGAATAAAAATGTCTGGGGGCATGGCTTAGATGGTAGAGTGCCTGACTGACAGCAAGCATGAAGCCCTGAGTTCAAGTCCTAATACTGCCAAAAAAAAAACCTTGGGGAAATTTTAACTGGGCAGGTATCTGATCACATCTAACTCTGTTGACCTTATGTCCAACACAGTGGCTCTTAGAACCTTTTTCCAGAATCATGTAGCTCTTGAGGTATTTCAGCTGATAAAAGAGATATATATGCCTTTATTGACCCAAAGTATACCATGTACATTGCAGACAATTCAAAAGGGATCCAGGATTTCTCTGACTGCATTTAAGAGGAAGTCACTTAATTACATAATATTGAATATTAGGACCTAGAATTCTAAGCTAGTAATGATTTGGGAGAATCTAGAAGGAAAATTACACTTGATATCCTAATAATACTGAAAACTTGTGTGTATATTTTATGGTACTATAGGTATAATTGTAGCATACCATTTAAATGCTTATTAAAATAAACTGTATGCTGGGTGCTGGTTACTCACATGTGTAATTCTAGCTACTTGGATGGGGGAGGCTAAGGAATGAGGATGGAAGTTCAAAGCCAGCATGGGAAGACAAATCAGAAAGGCTCATATCCAGTTAACTAGCAAAAAGCTGGGAATGGGTTGTGGCTCAAGTAGTAGAGCACCAGCTGAGAGCAAAAGACAAGTGAGAGTGTGAGGCCCTGATTTCAAGTACTAGCACAAAAATAAATACATAAGTAAATGAATGAATAAAAAACAAAAAACCTGTAAATATGGTTTTCATGCCCCTATGCTAACTACATATGTAAATAGAGATGGAATGGAAGGAAGTCATAGCAAAAAGAAACAAATATTAGAACTGTTGCCAATTGAGATTTTCAAAATTGGGATTGTGCAGTGTGAGAGTAAGATATGGAGAGCTTTGCAGAAGAATCCCTTTAACTCGCAGGAGGATTAAATCAGAAGTACAGCTTAATCATGGAAGCAGTTTTTGTGCTTGAGTAAGGTTTGAGATTCAAAATTTTAACGTAAATGTTAAAGTATATGGGAAGATAATAAGAGCCGGGTTTTTTGTTGTTGTTGTTTTGTTTTTCTTTTCTTTTTTGAAAAAAGCTGTTTTTCTTTTCTTTTTTGAAAAAAGCAACTCCAATAAGTATGGTTGAGGCCAAAGTGAAGTACCAAGATTGGTTTTAATGAAGTGGTTAGGAACTGAGAAGGTGAGCATTGAGCAGAGTTTGGGGTGGGGAGAGAGGCAGCCACTGAATATCTAAGAACGGTTGTCTGGCATGTTTAGCAAAACTCAGGAGAGAAAAGTATGGGAATGTGTCTTAAAGATTCGATAAGGTAACTAAATAAGTGCTTATTGGTAGGAAAATATTGACAGGTGAACTTAGAAACCAGTTTTCCAGGAAATAATTACATATTTTGGTAAGGTGGGAGGAGATACAGTGCAGTGTTGTGGATGACACCTTTATAGAGGTACTTGCCTATGCTCCAGGCCCATGGTGAGTCTACCTGTATTTCTCTGCTATTACTCAGGAGAGTATATGTGTAAGTGAGAAGGAGGTAAGCCAGTTTAGCTGGCAAGAGGTGAACTGGGTGTGATCAGGCTGCCCTTTTCACCTTACAAACAGAACTTTGAACATAGCATCCCATGTTAATTCTAATTTTGTTTCTATTTTTATACTTTTATAGATCTGAAACTAATTTCTCTTTCTCACCTTGAAATGACCTGGAGTACAAGAAAATATTTCCCTGCCTTGCTTGTGAGGATCTTGTATAAATCAAAACTGCGATACTATGGGAAACCTCATAAGAAGGTGACTGAGCCATACCAGGTACAAGCAATGATAATATATGCTAACTTAAATTTATAGATGAAATTTATTGATTATAACTTATCTACCTGACTGTAACATATATTATGCCAGTCATATTTTATGAGTTCTACGGTAATTTTTAAATGTCTATATATGTATATGCTATAAAAATTTTTCTGTTTAATATATTAAAAACAATGAAATTCTTGGGAGCTGGGGGTTTAGCTCAGCGGTAGAGAACTTGCCTAACATATGCAAGGTCCTGGGTTTGATCCCAGAACTTCAGGGGAAAAAAAGGAAGAAAAAAAAGTCAGGTGATGGGGCTGGGAAGGTAGCTCAGTGATAGAGTACTTGCCTTCCATGCATGAGGCCCTGGGTTTGATTCCTCAGCACCACATAAGCAGAAAAAGCAGGAAGTGGTGCTGTGGCTCAAGTGGTAGAGCGCTAGCCTTGAGCTGAAGAGCTGAGGGACAGCGCACGCGCCCAGAGTTTAAGCATCACGACCGACCCACAAAAAAAAAAAGTCAGGTGATGGTGGCTCACTCCTGTAATCCTTGCTATTTGGAAGGCTTAGCTTGTTAGGATCTTAGTTGCAGGCCAGCCCAAAGGCGCAGGCCAGGGAGGGGAGGTTCTCTCTCAAAGTGCACACAAGGTGGCGCACTGCCACTATTGTCACAGCTAGGAAGCCCAGCAGGTGGATCTAGCCCAATAGCATACCTAGCCAAGAAGCAAGATACTGTATGAAAAAGAACCAGCAGAAAAAATTAGAGCTGGAGGTGTGGCTTAGTGGTAAGAGTACCCACTTATGGAAGCATGAGGCTCTGAGATTAAGCTCCAGGATTGGGGGGAAAAGTCTTTATTAGTCTTTAGTTCTTTTTTCCTTCTGGCCTCCATCACACCTTTTTCTTTGACTTAAGCCTTTCCTTCTTGTCTGTACTTTTGGCATCAGCAAATAAATATACTCTGCTGGCCTCGCATTTAGAAAAGAAAGACAAGTGGACAGGCTCAGAGGCTCTTGCTTGTAATAAGATCCTCAGGAGGCTGAGATCTGAGGATGGTGGTTCTAAGCAAGTCTGGGCAGAGAAAAATGCAAGGCTCTTATATTCAACTAGCCAGTAAAAGTGTCAGAAGTGGAGGCATAGTTCAAATAATAGAGTGTCATCCCTGAGCAAAAAAGCCAAGCAAGAATATATAGCCTTGAGGTGAAGTTCCAGTACTGGCATATACACGAGTAAAAAAGAAAAAAAATAATCATTCTTGACATTATGATTCCTCTATTCCTTTTGCCTTCTCTTCAGATAGCTTTTTTTGGGGGAGGGGAGCAAGGTACTGGTGCTGAGTTCATGACCTCATACTTGCTAGGCAAACAATAAAACTTGAGCCAAAAACCTCAGCCCTTATAACTTCAGTTATTTGTCCGATGTACTCTCACATTTTTGCCCAGGAAAGCTGTGCCTGCCATCTTTCTGTCTACACCTCCCACATAGCTGCAATGACAGGTGCATATCACCATGCCTGACTTATTGGTCAAGATGGGGGTTTACTAACTTTTTCTTCAGGCTGGCTTCAAATCATGATTATCCTAATCACTGTCTTCCTGGTAGTAGCCAAAAATTATAATCATGAGCTGTCACACCAAGTACAAGCTTCTTGAAGTTGTCTGTACTACCTAAGTACAATGAGTTTGGCTTCTTCATTCATCTTGTTATTCACTAATAACCTGCTAATCATAAGATTAATTTAACTCTGTGCCATGTAATGCTGCTGAGATCTGTTTGTTGCTTAATATGTTTTACTTAATATTGTACTATAGTATCCCATGTTGTCAAGAACTATTTTAGGTGTTTTATTATGAATGTCTTATAAAAGCTATTCACACTCATTGGTGGGAACTGGGCAAATGTAGAAAGCTGTGTAAAGAGGACAGTACTGTCCAAGATTGTATCTCTCAGAGAAAGGCATTAAAAACATAATGCCTTTTGGGGTTACTGCTAGGATTTAAATTCAGGACTCCACAAGCAAAAAAGGTCAGATAAGGTGATGTTAGGAAAATGAACCCTAAGATATGTATTTAAATGTTTTTTTCTTTCATGCATTTGTTTCTAATGCATTTATATGATTATTTCTTTGTTGCTTTGTATGTCCCTCCCCCACAGTATAACCCCTGCTTTCACTGTATTTGATGTCAGTATAATTTGTGGAGGGGAAAGGGAAAAACAAGTCGTTTAAATAAGGATACAGGTAGACCCGTTGCAACAATGAGAAGTACAAGTTGTCATGTGGAAAACAAACTTTACAACTTTGGTGGGGGGGTGGGGGGAGGATTGGGTGTGTGGGGGAGGCTTGGAAGGGATGGGAAGGGGAAACAAAGGAGGAGACTACAATGCTTGATAAGAAATGTACTTATTATCTTGCCCATGTAATTGTAACCCTTCTGTACAGATTTTTCACAGTAAAAAAATAAAAAAATAAATTCAGGACTCCACACTTGTGACACAGATGCTGTACCACTTGAGCCATGCCTCCAACCCTTTCTCCTTTAGTTATATTTCAGATAGGATTTTATGTTTTCTTCCTGGGGTTGGCCTCAAATCACAATCCTCCTACCTACACCTCCATATAGCATGTGATACCATACATGGCTTATTTGCTAATTTATTTCCCTGATTGGCCTTGAACCATGATCCTCCTTATCTACTCCCCTAGTAGCTGGATTAAAGCCACCACCATGCCTAGCTTTATTCTTTTTCTTGTTTGTATATAAATTTAATATACACCAGTTTACATGAATATTCTATATATATATATATATATAGGTATCATAGCATATATATCACCTTATGATATGTATGTATGTATGTTATATATTCCATATGGCTATGTATGCCATATCGCACACTTTATACTATAAAACAAGAAACATTACACACACAATTTTCTGTTTCTTCAAATTTTCTTTTTCTTTGCACTGGTACTAGGGGTTGAACTCTGGGCCTCATTCTTTTCCATGCAATGCTGGTAATTTATCACTTGAGCCATTTCTATTTTAAAACTAAGAAAAGCATAATGTTCTAATGTATCCAATTTATCTTGTCTGTATACTTGGCAACAATATATATTGACATTTATATTCCCCTTTCTACTAAAATAAATTTTCAAGTACATCTCAGTATTCTGATATCATCTATAGCAGTGTCTCAGATAATGTAATCAGAACATCTACTTAGGGCATTGAGTCCATATAGTTATGTGTCTATCTGAAGTTTTGTCATATAAATATGAAGGCCTTCTAAAGGTTCACATCACCAAGAATGGTATTAAGATCTTCATTTGAAATGTTTAAAATATGACTTACACATTTGACACATGTATTATGTGGTTAACCTATACAGCACTGTATTCTTATTGGAGAACCAAATACAAAGAAAATGGAGTCAGAACCCTCAAAGTTTGCAGTCACACTGTAGGTCCATCATACATCTGGGTCTTCAGTGCATCTTGCAGCAATTTCTCCTTTAGATTACCAGTATTCGCAGAGTTGAAACTAAATAATTACTAATAAAGCACTAAAATTGAATGATATTTTCTGTCAGGGTTAAGTTGGCACATATGATAGGTTGTATAGCATCTATAAAGACAAAACATAGCAAATATGTACCAGGTAACTATGGCTCATGCCTGTGATCTTTGCTACTCATGAGGCTGAGATCTGAGGATTATGGTTGGAAGTCAGTCTGGGCAGGAAAATTTGTGAGGTACTTATCTCCAATTAGCCACCAAAAAGTGGGAAATGGAGCTGTGGCTCAAGGGGTGGAACACTAGCCTTGAGCACAAAAGCTCAGGGACCGTGCCAAGGCTCTGAGTTCAAGTCCCAGGACTGGCCAAAAGAGATGTAGCAAATATGTGTATGATTTTACTCTTTTTTTTTTTAGAGCTTTCTGGAAATTGCCGACTGTTCAGGCACTGTTACAGCAATTATGTGGAATGATCTGTGTCCTCAGTGGTATAAAAGTTTGAGAACTGGATTAGTTCTTCTGCTTCAAGCATATTCTGTTAAAAAGAGCTATCCATTCCGGATGCAGCCTTCTCCCGTGAATCCAAATATCAAAATAATTTCTTCAATGGGTTAAGTATTCAGTGAATTTGTTTTGCTTGTATTCATTTGCAGAATGTCATATCAGGCAAATAAACATTGCTAAAGTTGTTAGAAACTATATACTTTTTAATTCTTTCATCTATAAAAATTTCCAGCAATCATACAACTTAATAAGCAGATTAGTTTATGAGTATATTCATTAAGAAAAAAATCATTTGAGTTCAACTTTGGATATACTTCCTATTTTTTTTTAGTTTTGTTGTATAATATCAATGTAATTTCATCTCAAGTATATTTTACCATTACTACTAGTAGTAATCCAAATATCTGTCAACACTGTAATGGATAAATAAATTACAATATTTTACCATACTGTGATCATATTACATCATGGAAATGAGAAAGAAATAGTTCATGCAGCAACATGGATAAGTTTTGTTAACATTGATAATAGTCTAGTTCTTGGATTGCATGGTGAAATCAAAAGTATGTTCAGTCTGTTTTTTGGTAGTATAATATATGCACATGTGCACGTGTATATTTTTAGTATAAAGTATATTAATATTAATATGTTTTTTTCCAGAAATCAACCTGAATATTCGAGATCCTCCAACTAATATAATTATCATTCCAGAATATCAAGTGAAACCAGAATGGGGATTGCCAAAACTAAATCATCGATTTATCACCAGGTAGAAATATTTCCTTATAAAATGTATTAAATATTCATTTTAAATGTTGGATACTAAGAATTAATTCATTATCATTTTCTCAAAATTTGTGCCAAATGAAACTATAGCAGTTATAAAGATATATATTTTGTACTCATGATACCAGAATTCTTTTTTCATTGCTTAAAGATGCAATATCTATTTTATATTTTGGTTGTTTTTTTTTTAGAAAAGAACTGGAAGATAAGCCAAGAAATTATATCTGTGATGTGATTGGCATTTTATCTTTCGTAGGAAGGGTCCAGCGGTCAAAAAAGAGAGGTAAACTTTTAAAATGGAACTGGAAAAAGTATTTTAGCAAACACTCTTGTGTTCATATGCATATCATCATTAATTTATTTTAATATTCTCTCCATCCAGAAAAACATGAAGATTTTTGGTCATATCGCTGGATTCACATTGCTGATGGAACTTCAGAACAACCATTTATAGTGGAACTCTTTTCTACATCTCAGCCAGAAATCTTTGAAAATATTTACCCAAGTACTCATTTCTTAATACTTTCATCTTTATTTTGAGACCAAGGAGTATTAGCTTTAAAAATAGTAGAATAAGTTGATTTGCAGAGGTGGCATGATATGAGTTAGCAAACAGTCTGAAAACACATTTAAATCTTTTCTATATTAATATCATATTATCATAACAGATATCAGCTACCTGCTTCTTGTCTATTCAAGAGTTATCTTGGGATTTAAGTCAGTATTTTCAGAAAACAGATGTCCCTATTCATTCTCATTGTTAGAATTTCACATATTAAAAATGCTTTAAGAACCAGGCATTAATGGCTCAAGCCTAGAATCCTAGCTACTCAGGAGGATGAGATCTGAGGATTTTGATTTCAAGCCAACTTTGGCAGGAAAGTCTGGGAGACTCTTATCTCCAATTAGACAGCAAAAAGTCAGAAGTGGTACAGTGGCAACCCTGAGCAAAAAGCAGAGTAAGAGCTTGAGGTCCTGAGTTCAAGCCCCATTACTGTCACACAAAAAATGCTTAAGATTCAGTGTAACTAAAACACAGGCTGTCGATTCCTTTGATATCCATTTGGAAATTCACCATCAAACCCTTCACTAAAGCAGCATTAATTGAGAAAGGATTAACAGACCATGTAATTAAATAATGGGAATGTTGTGATTCCATTTGGATATTAAATTAATATTAGGCTGCTTACTTTGGATTTGACTTTTCCCATGTATTCATTCATCTATAAAGGTATTTTCCTACCAGTTCTGTTGGAAAATACTTTATGGATGCCCTACTATGTATTTCATAGAACAGGTTAGTATCATGATAAGAAAAAAGTATATTTAATACTTTCAACAATTTTAGTATTTTCTTGTTCAAATTCAGAGCATAAAGCTATTTTATATATGATATACTTATTTTTTTCTGTATGACATTGGGGAATGTTCCCATATTTACCACTTGTAATTTTTTAACTAGCATTAAGATAGAGATTGCAGAAAACTAGAGACCTAGAGACTATAAAAACTACTGTTCTGCTGCCGTTATTCTCTATGCAAAATAGTATTATATAGCTTTGCTTCGAGAACGTTTTATTAATATATCTAAATATTACAGAACCTTATCCCAACTTTGGGAAAGAGAGTTTTGACTATAACCAAGGTATGTGTTTCCAAGGTCAATGGGCTGTGACTTTCCTGGGGATAAAAATAATTGGCAATCATGATTTCTGCTGATATTTAAGTTACCGCACTTCAGGAGGATTTTATGGCCAAATCCTTTTCCCTTGTAGCCATATTACTCAACTCTGTTTAACCTAAGTTTGGAGTAAAGACTTCTCACAGGAACATTGCCAACATTTTCTATTTCTTATGATAATGTGAAATATATCTTTTATTTTTTGGTGGCACTGGGTTTGAACTCAGGGCCTGTTGCTTGGTAGGCAAGCACTCAGTAGCTGGGAAAGAGCACAAAGTAAGATGCACTCTCTTAACAGATTTTAGAAGTTTCTTTAATATTCATGTTTGTGTAGTTTTTTTTAAAGGAAACAATATAAATTAAAAGCTTTCTAGAATTTGAACAGGTTTTCCTTGTCTTCATTGCTATAGAATAAAGATCTAGTAACATATACATATGTATATACATATATATGTTACATATATATATATGTATATGTTACTAGATCTTTATACATATATAGAGAGGGGGGGGCGAGAAAGCAAATAAATTTATAGTTATCCTCTGGAGAAATTTTTGTTCTCAAGTGAAAACCTACTTTGGTGAGGTTTCATAAATTTACATTTAGTTCTTTTTATTTCCTCATTTATAATTATTTGAACAGATGAAGTAAAAAAATAATGTTGTTATGATACTTAAATAATGAAATAACTTAATAAGGTAGGTAAGTAAATGCAGTTGATAGTTTTTTTGTTTTTTGTTTTTGTTTTTTTTTGGTTGGTCATGGGACTTGAACTTTGGGCTTGGGCGCTGTCCCTGCGCTCTTCAGCTCAAGGCGAACACTCTACCACTTGAGCCACAGCGCCACTTCCAGATTTCTAGTGGTTTATTGGAGATTGGAGTCTCATGGACTTTCCTGCTGGGGCTGGCTTTGAACCTCAATCCTCAGATCTCAGCCTCCTGAGTAGCTAGGATTACAGGCATGAGCCACCGGTGCCCGGCCAGTTGGTAGTTTTTAAAAGTAGTTGAAGTCTACAGATATAATCTCATCTTGAGGGAGTCTTTGTAACTTATCAAGTAGGGTGGCAAGATGAAGGAAATAGATTACAAAAGCCCTGTCATTGAGCCTTCACTTCTAATTGAGATTATACATGATAAATATAAAATATTTACATGAATAAAACCTAATAATCTATAGTGCTATATGATAGAAGGATTCATAGTAGCTTGGAGTTCAATGTTAGGTTGTACTCAATCTATCAGAAACTACTAGTGAAATTATCATGGAGAAACAGCTTTCTTCAGTTATGTGTCCCATTAGAATGACTTGGCAGGTTGGGCACCAATGGCTCTTGCCTGTAATCCTAGTTGGTTTCAAGCCAGCCTAAGCAGACAAACCCCAGAGAATTTTATCTCCAGATAACCAGCAAAATGCCAGAAGTCTTCATTTATGCAACAAGAAAATGACTTTTATTTTATCCAGCTCCTTTGCTTTCCAAAGAAAAGGCTTCTGATAAAAAGAAACAACAGCAGCAGAGCAACATGATCCCTGTTGCTTCAAGTGTGGTGAGAGAAAAAGCACAGAGGACTTACTAGGAATACAGAATCTCAGGCCCTATTCTAGACTAGTTGACTCTGAATTTGCATATTAACAACAGTCATATGTTATTCTGATGTTTGTGAAAGTTTGAGAAGCATTATGTTATATATTTATCATGGTATGTACTCTTCAAAAAGCAAAAGTAATTTCATAAATGTTTTCATTTTTGACAGTGGCTTATTTCATATGTACACAGTTGAGAGTTGTCAGAAATAACAATGTAGTACCTAGACTGCTTTACCTCACCACTACAAATGAGAGCCGAGTGTTCCTTACTGGTGAGTATTTTTGTTTATTGAAGATGTAATATAATGCCATTTTACTAGAACCCTTTAACACATACTTGCTTTTACATTATAGTATTCAACTGTAAGTTAATTTTATTTGTTCTCACTATAACTATACATATTTTAACAAAGAATATTTGACCTATGAAGTATATGGCTTCTAGATTACTGTTGACCAAGGGAATTAGGGAATTGCATTTATGTCCTTGGTTAACTTTATTTACTGGGTGATGCAGAGTGTAGATAATAATAAATTGCTTGGGAGATTGAAAGCTATCAGTTTCAACACCACAAGACGGGTTCTGTTAAAATTATTTTCTAATTGTACTAAAATTTTTTAAAGATCTCAGATCGTATTTGTATAACGAAATCTCACTACTTGTCTGTTAGTAAGTAGTCCCTTTGTATCTGTGGACTATGATCCATAAACTCAACCAACCAAAGATTTAAAAAAAATGAAAAATATGTGTCTGTGCTATGTACTTTTGTCGTCATTAATTCCTTAAGCAAAATGTTTATATAACATTTGTATTTTATTAGGTCTTACAATTATTCTAAAGATCACTTAAAATATACAGAAGGATATGCATTGGATACCTGCAAATATTATGACATTTTATATACCATACTTGAACATCTGCAGATTTTTTATCTACTAGGATTCTAAAACCAAACTTTCTCTATTTCCTTTAAAAACAATAAGACAAAACTTCCAAGTTGAAAAAGTTAGGATATTATATGTAATGAGGTATTGGCAATTGAGAAATCTGTCCAGAGAAGAATTCTAGGAAAATTGCAGCATATATTTTGATTGATACCTGTCTTTATCAACATTAAAAATATACCACTTTTACATAAACATCAAAAATGCAAATTTAGCCACATGCCAGTGGCTCATACATATAATCGTAGCTACTCAGGAGATTGAGATGGGAGGATCCTTATTCAGAGCTAGCCCAGGCATTGTCTGTGAAACTTTAGTCTCCAACTAAACACCAAAAGGCCAGAAGTTGGAGCCGTGGCTCAAGTGGTAGAGCACTAGCCTTGAGTAAAAAAAAACCTCAGGGACAGCAACTAGCCCTGAGTTCAAGTCCTGAGACTGGCACAAAAAAAAAGAAAATCTCAAATTTAAATAGTGAGCTCATGGATCTAGTATAGTTCTTACACGATACTATGCTCTTGAGTGTTCTAAAACTCAGGTTATTTTTCACATGGTCCCTATCCTCTGGATAGTTAGGAGAAAGATTATTAGTTTTGTTTTTCCTCTGTGAGTTTAGCATCTTGTAGATAGGTGCAGTTTAGTCCATTTAAGTTCTAATATGTCTGACTACCTTAGGATTTGTTTGCTATCATTGGAAAATTATATACTACATAGTGAATAAGTGAACTTGACTTTTTTTCTTGTTGATATGAAAGATTGTTTTAATATGAAATTTTTATATAAAACAAGTCCATGCAATTTGTTATAGTGAGCTTTTTCTTTCTCTTCTTTTGTGCTTGTAGGTCAGAGAGGCCAGCCATATGCCTATGAAGCTAAAGTTAAAAACTTCATTCAATGGGTTAAAACAAAGACTGATTCTGAGAAACTGAAGAATGCTGTTATTGGTGGATACTACCCCTATCCACCAGTACCATCAACATTTTCCAAGTATAGTTGTTCTTCTAAAGGTACTGATGGACTTGCCGATGTCCACATGATGCATTTGTATACTATACATATAGTAAAATGCTCACTTCGTTGGCTTGATCCTTTTCTTCTACAGGAATGAGCCCATAACAACACACACTATACAATAATTTTGTCCTACAGTAGACAAAACTAAACATATTGTGCCTTCTAACAGTTAATATTTTGATTGTGTTAGAAGGGGAAAAAAGAGGCAATGTGGAAATGGCTAGTTTGGGATAATACTTTGATTTTTAATGCATTAAGATCAAATTTACCTTGGTAAATCTCAAGTCATGACATTATATAGACTAAAGATTTTAGTCTAAGACTAAGCAATTTTATATGCAGATATTAACAATTGTATGTGTTACTCTTATAGGTTATGTACGTGTGTGTGTGTGTGTGTGTGTATACATTTTAATGTATAACATAATTGAGTGCTAACTTTAAATTACAAAATGGACCCAGTTCCAGTACTACTAAAGGAAATGAACCTGGGCATGATAATTAAGACATGTAATCATAGCTACTCAAGAGACTGACATTGGGAGGATTATTGTTGAGGGCAAGCCCTGGTGGGGGGAGGAGGTTCTTTAGGTATTATCTTAACCACTGGCAAAGAAGTTCCCCAAACCTCATCTTAACAGAAAACAACAACAACAATAGCACCTGTAGTGATGCATGTCTAACATGGCAGCTACAGCAGGAGCATGAAATAGGAAGATCATAATCTAGGTTGGCCAGAGGAAATGCCAGACCCAATCTCAAAAATAGCCAGAGCAAAAAGGACTAGAGCTATGGCTCAAGTGGTAGGAAACCTATATAGCAACTCTGAAGTCCTGAGTTCAAACCCTAATACTATCCAAAAGAGATATAAAAGTGAACAAGATGCTGGATTTAGAACTGAAGTATTGATAAGAAGCCTAACATTAATTTACTTTTAAGCATATGATGATTAAAAAGATTAGAAAGAGTATGTCCTTTTTTTTCTTTTTATCGATCGTATGGCTTGAACCTTGGGCCTGGGTACTGTCCCTCAGCTCTTCAGCTCAAGGCCAGCACTCTACCACTTGAGCCACAGTCCCACTTCCAGTTTTCTGAGTGGTTTATTGGAGATAAGAGTCTCACAGACTTTTCCTTCCTGGGCTGGCTTTGAACCGAGATCCTCAGATCTCAGCCTCCTGAGTAGCTAGGATTGTAGGCATGAGCCACTGGCACCCAGCTCATCTCCTTCTTTCTAAGGGATGAAATAATTGCCCAGTTTGGGGAAAAATAAACATTGAAATGCTGACAGCACCTAAAGATTGGCATCCTTTTGTATGATCTAATGTTAGCACTATGTTGTATATGGATGAAATAATTAAAATATATTTTCTTCTGTACAGTGACTAGGAATACTTTATTGCTTGAAATATGACATCTAAATTATCACTCTGAAAATTCCTCCTACAAATGAAGACTTCACACCAGAAGCCTATATCACAGGTTTAAGTGATGACTAGTTTGTCCATTGTAGAAAACTTATACAAGAGTATCTCAAATATAACACACAGTCTCAGAGATTTAATATAGCAGTTTGTGATTCCATGCAAAATGACATTGCAAATCTAATTCTTATTTTTCCATTTTTAATTCTTTAAAAGCTTACAGATTCTTGGGAAATATTCTCTTTCAGTTGACTCACTCTTGACGGCTATAAGTGAAGTGAAGAAGGTGATAGAAGACTTGCAATACAGGGAACAAAAGCGCATTGCCATTCAAGGAATAATTACTGCTATAAAGTACATCCCCCATAGCTATGCGAATAAAAGCACCTCAGCACTGGTAACACCTCTGGTATGGTGCCAGAAAACTAGAATACATCTCTGGAAGTTTGTTATCATAATTATTATTGATAACTTGTACAATATGTATTAACTCTCACTGATGTGAACCTAAGAGTAACCTTATTTATGTTTCTTTCCTTTCTCTGTAACTTATTTTGAGGCAGATAGAAGCATTAATCACAATCTCTAACATTCCCCAAGACCCTTAAACCTTGTCCTAGTTTTCTGCATAACTTCTGAGCCTATCATGAATATCTTAAACTTCCCGGTGTTATATATGACTCAGTCATTTTCTTAACTTTTATCTAGGCCAGAATAACAGGAAAGCTTCTGCAGAGATTTTTGCCTCTAAATATGGTATAGTAGGTTCTATAAGAGACAGCACTAACTCTTGTAACAAAAATAGTCTAGTAACTAAAGGCCAGTTCTGAAAACTAGGCAAAATGAAGACAAGTTGATTTTTCCCTTGAGTTCATCTCTTTAAAAGCCATATCTAGGATTATTACTATTTCTATGTACACTATATGCTTAATGTGATTTTATTTATACTAGTATAAGAAGAAATATTTATCTTCCTCTTTAAAACATTTAATACCAAATAGATGGCTTGATCACCTGTATAAAAACAATGTCATGGCTGGGTACAATGGTTCATGCCTATAATGCCAGCTTCTAAGGAAGTGAAGATTGGATGGCTCACAGTTCAAGACCAAACCAGGCATACCAACCACAAAAAAAGCTGGGCATGGTAGTATACACTTGTGAACCTAGCTTAGTAAGAACATTGTAGTCCAAGCCATGAGCAAAATGTGAGAAATCTTACCCTACAAAAGCCGTAAGTTCAGATACTATAGTGAGCTTCCTGCAGGAAAGAATTGCCAAAAAGAATCACCAAAAATCTTGATTGCAAAAGTTTGACAAGTTCATAAAATTATTTGAAATTTGATAAACTATAATTATAGAATCTAATAAAATAGAAATGCTTTTTTTGTAAATTTGTTTTTAAATGTTCTCTCTAAATTGTTGGTTTTAGAAAATTAGCCAACCTTCACCATCTCAGGCAGCTCCAGAACGAAGTCATAATGAGGAAGTAAGAGGTAAACAGCATGGAAGGGGTAGGCTGGCACGTTCTCAGAATTTTCAAACTACATCTACAAGTTTGAGTCCTAGCAAGAAGAAAAGAATTCTTCAAGCCCCATGTGGCAAACTGTAAGTTACATGCTGCAAAACATGAATGTTTCATGCTATCCTTCCCAGCTTCTGTTAGTTTGCTGATAAACTTTGGCATTTCTTAATTTGTACCAATCAAATCAATATCTGTCTGCCTTCATGTTTCCATGAAGTTCTCCCTGTATGTGTGTCTGTCTCTATATTTCCCCTTTTTATAAGTCAAACTGAATTCCAGACCCACCTTACACCAATATGAACTCATCATCCCTTAACCAATCACATCTTCAAGTACCTATTTCCAAATAAGGTCACATTCTGAGGTACTCAGGATTAGGACTTCATCAAATGAATTGAGGGGGAGGCATAATTTAATCCTTAACAGTTTGTCTCCTAGCTCCCCAAAAATACATTCACTCCATCACAACAGCCTTGAAAGTTTTGACCCACACCAGTGTCAACTCTGCTCCAGGAGCTTATCTAAATAGTGTCTGATTCACAGATGAACAAGAATCCAAGTGATTCATCCTTAGAGGAAAAAGAATCATGAGCCACAAGCAACTCCAAAATCTAGCAGAGACAAATCATTCCATTTTTAATATTTTTTTAATTTTTATTGTGAAAATACCATATAGAGAGGTTACAATTACATGGGCAAGATAATGCGTACATTTCTTATCAAGCATTGTTGCCTCCTCCTTTGTTTCCCCTTCCCATCCATCCCTTCCCATATCCTCACCCCTGCCCCCCCCCACCAAAGTTGTAAAGTTCGTTTTTCGACATAATGACTTGTACATCTCATTGTTGCAATGGGTCCACCTGTATCCCTATTTAAACGATTTGTTTTTTTCTTCCCCTCCACAAATTATACCGACATCAAATACAGTGAAAGCAGAGCAACTCCATTTGTAATAGCCCCACAAAAAATAAAATACCTAGGAATTAACTCATTCCATTTTTAATGTTTGGAATTATCCTCTCTAGCTCAATGTATGTATGTACACCAAGCCCATCATATCCCACTCACTCAGCCCTGCATGTGGTCCTATACTCTGGAACCCTCTGCAATTGGAAAAGTGTTGCTGTCACTGTCAGGGTTATTCTTCCCATTTCTTAAAGAATAACACATATTTGCAGCCAAAGAGCTCTGACAGCTCCTTTCCTGCCTATAGAAATTCAGAAGTTTGACAACCTTCCTTTATTTCATCCTGTCTTATATAAACCCCCTGTGATCCAGACTGGCAGCCACTGTCCTTTGATGATTTGATGGATCAGTGATGAAAAGCCAAATCTTACCTAATGATTCTCTAGCCACCCCTTTGGGGATCTCTTCAGAGCAAACTTTCTCATTTTTTGTAATAATGATAGACGAACACTTTTCTAAATTTTCACATCACTTGTTGCCTAACAAGTCTTACTTCAACTGATCTCTCTTTTTACATTGTAGTATAAACAGCAAGGAGAAACAAGCCATGCCTTCAAAACTTGGCTTCGAAATTTCTTCACCTAAATATTCAGGTGTATCACTTCCAAGTCCAACTCGTCATCCATAGCACAATGTGACTGAGTGCTCTGTCACCGTATAAGGATCACCTTTCCAGTAACACACCTCATTGAACACTGAGCCCTGAACTCTGAACCCTTGAAGCTCCTTTCTCAGCCCTGTATTTCTAGCATTCTGTACATGACAGGTATTGTCTAAGACGATAGAAGCTTAGAAGCTTTCATTGCAATTCTCTTTTCTTTTGAAGCCCTAACCATGTTCTCCTTTAAAGTTTATATTACTACCAGCAGTAACTTCAAGGAAATCTAGACCTTTTCTATTCTTCCCTTCAGAATTCTTTCAGCTTTGACTTAATATCTAATTTCACAGGCCACATCCACATTTCTAGATATTTCTTACCATAGAATCTCACTTCCCAGTAAGAAACTATGTACTAGCTTGTTAGATCTGCTATCATAGAGCACAGCAAACTGGATGGCTTCACAGATATATTTACTTTTGTTATTTAAATTTCTCCTACTTTACATTCTGTTTATGGAAAATTGTGTTTGCATCATCTGAAAAATGTAACTATAAACTATTAGCTATAAAATATGGCTTAATTTGCCAGAATTTTATCAATAAAATGTGCTTTCATCCTTTATGGATACTGATGCTTTCATTCATTAATAACCATCAGAATTAAAAATCCCATTAAAAAAGAATCCATTGTAAGAGAAAATTCTCGATAAAATATGATCAAGATGAGATGGCATTTGTAATACGACATTTCTGGCTCATGTTAGACCTTTAAATTTGGAAATGGAACAGAAAGGGAAAAATACATTACTGAACTATTGTTCAAAGCTCATCAGATCAGAAGACTTCCTCATGAAAGCACAATTCTTTTTCATTTCAAAATAAGATATACATCTTCACTTAATTTCAGTTCATTGAGCAGTTCCTGAACAGCTACGGTATGTATATCCCAGAACAAATATTTTTGTAGAAACAATAATGTTTCAGATGATACGGACTTAAAGGTGCATGAAGCAGGCTCTGATAGAAGTTTATTCATGGTGCTATGCTAACATACACAAGGAACAGTTGGCCTTTACTGCAGAGGACAGGGGGCTTCTTGATAGCAAATAACTAGTGAGCTAATTTTGGAAGGATGAATAGTGTTATGGAATGAACAAAAGCACTATGAAATGGAGTTGGGGAAACAGGAGTTGTTCTCCAGAATTGCTGAACAACTTAAATATGTAAATTAGGCCATTGCATTGGTTTTCAAATTCTCATCATAGGGAATGAAAGTACATACATCTTTATTTGATATTTACATTTTATTTGATACTTACACTCCTTAAGAGAATATGTAAATCAACTGCAGGGTTTGAATTATATTATGTATGGACATTCTTCATGATTGTTAAGTGTATTTTAAACATTAAGCAGTCTATATCTTTTTATAAATTTGTTGACTTAAAATAAATTCAGACTAAGATCAATTAGGATTGTTTTCCACTTGGGTCTTTTTTAAAAAATAATGATTGGTTATCTTATTTTTATCCTTTGTAGAATTGCTGTACCTCAGCAAGAAGCTTCTTCCCAAACAAATGGAAATAAACTGGGCACATCAGGCATGGTCCAATGTATGTTGTTGTTTATTATCTGTGAAACTTTTATAGAATACTATTTTATGCAAATTACGATCTGATCTGATTGTGCATTGTTGTGTCATACTTGCTACTCCTGAAATCTGTAAGTGCTTTGTATTAGTAGAGGTTATTACTGTTCGATGTCATCGCAAACAAGAAGGTGACTTATTAGGAATTACTAAAAGCTGAGAATGAAATTGGGAGGTAAAGAGAGTGGTTATCACGTACAAGGTAACAGTCTATAGGAGGAATAACTTGAGGCATTTTATAGCACAATGATGTGCAAATATTGTCATTTATATTTCACATATTTCATAACCTATAGTAGAGTAGGTTTCAAATAGTCTCAACACAAATGATAAATATTTGAAGTGCTGGGTATACCATTTACCCTGATCTGATCATTACACATTGTGCATTGAAACATCACAATGTAGCCCATAAATGTGTGCAATTATGACTCAAAATAGATTAAGTTTTTTTTGAAAGAAGAGATTCTTAGCAGCTGCAATGTATTACAAAGGTAACATAGTCAGGAGTGGGTGGATCATGCCTATAATCCTAGCTACTCAGGAGGATGAGATCTGAGGATACAGCTTCAAAGCCAGCCTGAGCAACACCAGTAGATTCTTATCTCTAATTAGCCAGCAAAAACCTAGAACTAGAAATGTGTTATAAGGGATAAATCACCAGCCAGGAGCAAAGAAACCAAGGAAGAGCTCGAGGCACTGAGTTCAAGCCCTCAGTACTGGCACAAAAGAAAAAAAACAGAGCTATTAAATAACTCAATATATTAAACAAAAAGTAATATAGAATGACATATTACTGGATATCAAATGCTCAAAAATTAAGATAGAGGAAAAATAGTTGGAGACTTTTCATTTTGTGGCTTTATCTGTTCATTTGCATATTAATTGAATATTATTAAATTTTTTATTATTTAGTTATATGTTCTTTTGCTGTTAGTTTTTTTAGCTTTTTGTATATTCTAGATATTAATTATTTGTTGAATACCTAATGAAGGATTTCTCTCATTCTGTGGATTGTCTCTTGATTTTCTTGTTAACTTTGATGTACAGAAACTTTTTCATCCAATCTCCTTCATTAGTTCTTGCTCTAATGCTCTGTGAAATTGGAGTCTTGTTTGGAATATAATAACCTATGCCTAAATCCTCCAGTGTTCCAAAGTTTCAATTTAGGGAGACAGTTCTGGAATTTTGAACTCAGGGTTCCTCCCTTGCTTGGCAGGCACTTTGAGCCCATGCCTCCAGCCCTTTTTGCTATTTTTGTTTTGTTTTCTTTTGTTTTACAGTACTAGGGTTTGAAATCTGGGCCTCATGCTTGCTAGGCTAGCATTATATTGCTGAACTATGCCTCCATCTATGTTTTTCATAATATCTATGTTTAGCTTAATATCTCAGTTCCTACCCAAGAGAACCTTCTCATTGTTGCTCAAATCACAGGCCAGCACCTTGGCATCCAGCTTCCCTGCTTTGAGACAGAGCTGGACTGGAATGAGGTCTTCCCATTCTCAGCCTCCTAGATACCCTTGGATGACAGATCATCAGTCAGGCAATATGACACTGTCCCTACTTATGGTTAAGAAGAAGTCTTAAAACATTTTCTGCCCAGACTGGCCTCAAACTACATTCCTCCCATTTTCAGTTTCCCATATAACTAGCATTACAGGCTTGAGTCATCAGTACCTGCTTTAATCTAGGGTTTCGTTTTGTTTTTGTTTTTGTTTTGAGAAAAGGTCTCATTTTTTTTGCCCTGACCATCTTGGACCACAGTCCTCCCATTTCTACTTACTGCCATAGCTGGGATGATCAGCATGAACTCCCACACCCAATTTGTCTCTTGAGATAGGATCTCAGAAGCGTTTGTTTTTTTTTTACCCAGGCTGGCCTGAAACAAGGAGCCAAGGAGCCTCCTTATCTCAGCCTCCTACACTGGTGGAATGACTGGTATGCACCCTTGCATATACCTGTTAGTTGAGATGGAATCTTGCAGAGTTTTTCCCCAGACAAGCCTTGAACCATAATACTCCTGATTCTTGTCTCTACAGTAGCTAGAACAGGCATGAGCCCCCAGCAACCTGGCTTTAAGTTTCAGATTTTACATCAAGATCTTTCACCAATTTGCAGTTTACTTTTATGCAGAGTGGGAAATAGTGAATGTAAAGGAATTTCATCCTTCTGGATATAGGTAACCAATTTTCCTAGCACCATTTATTGAAGATGAAGTCTCTTTGCCAATGTTAGGCTTTTGGGAGATTTGTCAAAAATAAGATGGCTTTTTTCATATATTCATATAAAGTACTATGACCATATTTACCCTTCTTCGTCTTCTCATTCTTTCCTCCTTTTCCCATTGATACCTCCAAACAAAGCTTGGTATGCATTCCTGCCATTCATTTTCCAGTGCATATTAATTGTATCAAGGTGTTTCACTATGGTATTTCACAGATGTGTATATTATACTTAGTCACATTAACCACCTCTATTGCCCTCTCTTCCCATGTCCCCTTACCTATTCATTATTCAACAGCTTTTGTTGAGTTTTTGTTATGCCATCTCCATGCATAGATAACAAACAATGTTATTTTAAGAAAGTGACCAGGAAGGATAAAGGAGAGTGACAGAAGACATGAATGTAACTAAGAGGCATTGTATGTGTATGGGGAAGTATCACAATGAAACTTCCTTAGACCACCAATATATGCCAATTTTAAAAAGGAAAATGCAAGATGCTTCTAAAAGAATTATCTTCTGGGGCTGGGAAGTTGGCTCAGTGGTGGAGTGCTTGCCTTGAATGCATGTGGCCCTGGGTTCGATTCCTCAGCACCACATAATCAGAAAAATGCCGGAAGTGGTGCTGTGTCTCAAGTGGTAGAGCGCTAGCCTTGAGCTGAAGAGCTGAGGGACAGCGCCCAGGCCCAGAGTTCAGGCCCCATGACCAGACCCAAGGAAAAAAAAAAGAATTATCTTCTGAAAGGAAAAACAAATGGCTATAGGAAAGGCAAGTTCTGAAAGCAAAAAATGTCCTTAAATTCATATTTTTTTGCTTTTTGGTCAGTCGTGGGGCTTGAACTCTGGGCCTGGGCACTGCCCCTCAGCTCTTCAGGTTAGTGTTCTACCACTTGAACCACAATGCCACTTCTGGGTTTGTGTGTGGTTTACTGGAGATAAGAGTCTCATGGTCTCTCCTGCCGGGGCTGGCTTTGAACTGTGATCTTCAGATTTCAGCCTCCTGAATAGCTAGGATTACAGGCATGAGCCACTGGCGCCAGCTTAAATTGGTAATTTTGCCACATGATTTTATATCATCTATGAATTAAGAAATTCAAATTATAAATTACTTGAATACTGTCCAACACTACGAGCTGACATTTGTCAGTGTTGGTTCTAACTTACAGTTCTTTAAGAAGTCTGCAAAATATTTTCCTTTTTTATGAAAAGACAAGAGGATCACAATAGCTATCTTAGACATATACTAATTATTACAAATGAGGAAAACCATAGAGCCTTTGTTTCTTTGGGTCTGGTTTACTTCCCTTAATACGATTTTTTCTGTCTTTCCATTTCCTAAACTTTCTATTTACATTCTTTTCATGATTTTTTCTGTGATATTCTTTTTGTGTTCAAACTTAATTTTCTGGTTTACGTTGGATCTTTATTTGTGCTTTTCTTTAGCTATTTGAATATTTATTTTTACCTTTTCACTTTTTAAACACGTATTTATAGCACTTGTTTTAAATTGTTTGTGTTATAAAGTCTAGTAGTGTCTTCTACAGTGAGTATGTTGATTCAATTTGTTCATTTCATGGACTGCTCTTTTCTACTTCTTTCCATACCTTTGAGTTCTTGTTAAAAACTAGACATTGGAATATTATAATATCTTAACTGAATATCCAGACTATTCTTCCTCCCTAGCTTTCCTGAGGCTCTTTGTTGCTGATTGCTGTGGTTGTCCCTTTTTCTAATGACTTTCCCCAAAGTTCCTTTTTTTTTTTACAGAGACTATTACTTGTGTGCAGTCACTAAATTTTCTGTGCAATAGCTGTGTTCAGTTATTGTTCTGACAAACATTTCTCTCAAGAACAAAAACTGAAAAGACCATTTCTCCCAGTCTTTGTATATTGGATCTCTGCTCAGACCCTTTCAACACTTGGCTAGACTGTTACTGAGCCTAGAGCCTTAGGTGAAAGTTTAAAGTCTTTGATCTTTTCTGAGAATGCAATGTGGACTGGGCCTATCCTTGGCTTTTTAAAGTCCCTGGGATACATGAATGCTTTTGAATGCTCCAGTTTCCAAACTGAAGTTTCTCCCTTTGATTTTTCCTCCATGGCCTTAGGCTATTGATTATGTCTCAACTGCAGTCTTCTGCCCCAGGTATCTGTGGGTTGTTTACCTACTTCACCTTGTTTCAAGCCATACCAAATTTTTTTTTGCAGACTGAGTTCTAAGTTAGGTGAAAGAAGGTAGATATTTATACTTCAAGTCTATCGCAGACAGGTTAGAATAGACCTATGCAATAATGTGTGAGTACAGTCAGCTTAACCTCAACCAGGAACAGCAACAGGATCCATCAATGGGAACCAAGGCTTTATTGAGAATGAGCAAGAAGAGGTGAAAAATAACAAGTAAAAGAACCACAAAGCTTTCCTGGTATTTTTGTTTGTTTTTGTTTTATTGAAGGTCCTAGAGCTTGAACTCAGGGCATGGGTGCTATCCCTGAGCTTTTGTGTTCAAGGCTAGCACTCTATCAGTTGGGCCACAGTTCCAATGCTGGATTTGGAGGTGGCTCATAGGAGATTCCCTGCCTGGGGTTTCCTGACCAGGCTTGCTTTGAACCACAGTCCTCAGATTTCAGCTGCCTGAGTAGCTAGGATTATAGGCATGAGCCCCCAGTACCTTTTTTCTGAAAAGGCTTATTTATATATTTATTTATTTGGAATGTTCTATTATCTTTAAGTAGTTGAACAAAGGAGT